TCCATGTTTATGAATAGGAACACTCTATTATAAAATGTCAGTTCTTCCCAACTTCATCTATATACTCAATGTAGTCCTAGTCAAAATCCCAGCAAGTTATTTTGTGGATATCAACAAACTTATTCTAAAATGTATATGAAGAGGCAAAAGATCCAACTAGCCAACATAATATTGAAGAAGAAGAACAAAACTGAAAAACTGACACTACTTGACTTCAAGACTTACCATAAAGTTACAGTAATTAAGATAGCGTGGTATTGGCAAAAGAAAAGACAAATAGACCAATGAAACAGAATACAGAGCCCAGAAATAGACTCACAAAAATATAGACAACTGGTCTTTGACAAAAGAGCAATGACTCAATATAATGCAGAAGAGTTTCTTTTTTATTCTTTTCTTAAGACACAGTCTCACTCTGTTGCCCAGGCTGGAGTGCAGTGGTGCAATCACGGCTCACTGCCACTTCAATCTCCCCGGCCCAAACAATCTTCCCACCTCAGCCTCCCAAATAGTTAGGACCATAGGCATGTGCCACCATACCCAGTTAATTTTTTATATTTTTTTGTAGAAACAGGGGCTTGCCATTTTGCCTAGGCTGGTCTTGAACCCCTGGGTTCAAGCGATCTTCTCGCCTTGGCCCCACAAAGTGCTGTGATTACAGGCATGAGCTGCCACACCTAGCAAGAAAAGAATTTTTTAACGAATTGTGCTGGAACAACTGGATATCTACATGTTAAAAAAAAAAAAAAAGATGAACTTATATCCTTCACAAAAATAAACTCAAATGAATCACAGATCTAAATGTAAAATGCAAAACTATAAAATTCCTAGAAGAGAACAGAAGAAAAAATCTAAATGGACTTGGATTTGAAGATGACTATTTAGATAAAATATCAAAGGCACAATCCATGAAAGAAAGAATTGATAAACTGGACTTCTGCTCTGTGAAAGATACTGTCAACAGAATAAAAAGAAAAGCCAAGGTTGGGAAACAATACTTGCAAAAGACATCTCCGATACAGGTCTGTTGCCCAAAATACACGAAGAATTCTCAAAAACCAAAAATAAGGAAACAAACAACTTGATTATAAATGGTCAAGGACCTTAACAGACACCTCAACAAAGAAGATATACAGATGGCAAATATACAAAAGCACACAAAAGGATGCTCCACATCATATGTCATCAGGGACTCCATCTCAAAAATAAATAAATACATAAAATTGGCCGTGGTACATCCAGACAAATGAGTAACATTCAGCACATAAAATAAATGATCAAGCAAATTAAAACTTAGAAGCAACCAACGTGACCTTCAGTAGGTTAATGGACAAATAGCTTGATAGCTCATTTATTTTACCTGCTGAATATTATTCAATTGTCTGTGGTATGGTTCATGCCTGTAATCCCAGAACTCTGGAAGGACAAGGCAGGCGATCACATGAGGCCAGGAGTTCAAGACCAGACTGGCCAACGTGGTGAAACCCCATCTCTACTAAAAGATGCAAAAATTAGCCAGGCATAGTGGTGGGCACGGGTAATCCCAGCTACTCAGGAGGCTGAGGCAGGAGAATAGCTTGAACCTGGGAGGTGGAGATTGCAGTGAGCCAAAATCGCACAACTGCACTCCAGCCTGGGCAACAAAGCGAGAGAGACTCCATCTCAAAAATAAATAAATACATAAAATTGGCCGTGGTACATCCAGACAAATGAATAACATTCAGCACAGAAAATAAATGAACTATCAAGCTATGAAAAGATATGAAGGAAAGGTAAATGCACACTACTAAGTAGAAGTTGTTAGTCTGAAAAGGCTACATCCTGTATGATTCTAACATATGACATTCTGGAAAAAGGAAAACTATGGAGATAGTAAAAAGGTCAATGATTTCCAGGAGTTAGTCGGGGAGGGAGGGATGAATAGATGGAGCACAGAGTATTTCTTGGGGGGACAGTGAAACTACTCTGTATGATACTATAATGCCAGATGCACCTCACTGTACATTTGTCTAAACCCATGGAATGTACACCACCAATATTGAACCCTAGTGTAAACTATCAACTTTGGGTGATAATGTGTAAACATAGGTTCATCAACTGTAACAAATGTACCCCTTCTGGTGGGGGATGATGATAGTAGGGGAGGCTATGCCTGTGGGGAGAAAGGAGTATATGGAAAATCTTCATACCTTTTGCTCAATTTTGCTGTGAACCTAAAACTGCTTTGAAAAATAAGGTCTTTTTATACATGCATGTGTGTGTTCACTGTAGCACTATTCACAACAGCAAAGACATGGAATCAACGTAAATGCTCATCAATGGTAGACTGGATAAAGAAAATGTTGTACATATATACCATGGAATACTGCGTGGCAATAAAAAGGAAATAAGATCATGTCTTTTGAGGGAACAATGATGGAGCTGGAGTCCATTATCCCTAGTAACTAACAAAGGAACAGAAACCAAATACTGCATGTTCTCAGCTTATAAGTGGGAGCTAAATCATGAAACCACATGGACACATACAGGGGAACAGCACACACTTGGGGTCTACTGGAGGGTGAAGGGTGGAGGGTGGAAGGAGGGAGAGAATCAGGAAAAATAACTAATGGGTACCAGGCTTAATACCTGGGTGACAAAATAATCTGTAGAACAAACCTCCATGATACCAGTTTACTTATATAACAAACATGCACATGTACCCCTGAACTTAAAAGTTAAAAAAATAAATTTTGAAGTGAAAGGGAAATCTAGATAGATATACAGTCTTTTAAAAAAAAAATCACTGGATTTGATTACATAAACATTAAAAATTATATGAGAAAAACTGTAAAATTAAAAGATAATATATTGGAAAAATATTCATAACAAATGGCAAGAAAAAAATATCTAACATATAAGACCTTATAAGTCAAGAGAAATAGATATAAATCCCCTAGAAATGTGGGGAAAGGATATTGCTTCAGATTGCCACTTGAACCCCAAAATCCATTCTTCCTTCCATCCATAGCAGCAGATTTTCAGCTGGGCACATGGCCACCCAGCTAAAGTTACAGCTTCTCTTGCAGTTAGGTGTGGCCATGAAACTTAAATTCTTGCCAAAGAATGTGAGTTGAAGTAATGTGTGCAACTTATTTTTCACTTGTTTAATAGCAAATTACTGTGCTTGCCTTCAATTTTTTCTCTTTCTTTCTTTCTTAACCAGAAGATGAAATATGGATTGGAGATAATTCGGTTTTGTTTATTCAGGTAAAGATAACACCGGAGGATGATGGAACAACATGATCTAAAGAACCTCGGTCTCTAAATGATGATCAGAGTCACTGACCAGCTAGAACTACTTACTTATGTGGGAAAGAAAGTAGCTCTTATTTAAAATAGTACATTTTTGCTCTCTTGTGCTAGCAACTTAGGCTATATACTAACAAACAAAATAAAAGAGGAAATTTTCACAATAAGGAAATATTAATGGCTTACAACTGTAAGAGGAAATCAATACTCTCAGGCAGAAAATGTAAAATGACAGCATCTTTGGTCAAAATAACAGCACTAGAGTGCAAAGAGAAGAATGACAGGCTGGGGGCGGTGGCTCATGCCTGTAATCCCAGCACTTTGGGAGACCAAGGCAGGCGGATCACAAGGTCAAGAGACTGAGACCATCCTGGTAAACACGGTGAAACCCTGTCTCTACTAAAAATACAAAAATTAGTCAGGGGTGGTGGCACGCACCTGTAGTCCCAGCTACTCGGGAGGCTGAGGCGGAAGAATCATTTGAACCCGGGAGGCGGAGGTTGCGGTGAGCCGAGATTGTGCCACTGCACTCCAGCCTGGTGACAGAGCAAGACTCCGTCTCAAAACAAAACAAAACAAAACAAAAACAAAAACAAAAACAAAAAAGCATGATAATCACAGGGTTGCTTATGAAACAAAAAATTGAAATCAAGGTGGGATATGGTAAACAAATTATGGTATCTCCATACAGTGGAATGCTGTGAAGCATTAAAAATGATATAACAAATAAATCATCTTTCATCATAATAAAAGACCACTTAAAAATTATCTTGTGTTCTGAGAAGGCATATGATCAAAAATGACACATTATAGTCTGGTAAAGAAAACATAAAATTTATGGTCTCTGAACTCTTTATCACAAGAGAATGATTTTGTATTATATTAGGTTAATACAATTTTATTGTTACCTTACAGACTAGAGCTTTGTTAACATTGGATCAGATTCTGATAAAGAGTAAACTCCTCTTGCCATGACTTGTATTGCTAGCAGAAATTTGACTGCTTTGACTGCTTTGAGTTGTCAACCTACCACACAGTGCCCTGGCAAGTTGGATCTTCCCAAACTTTTCTCCTGAAATAACTTTTTCTTTTTTTTTTCTCCTGAAATAACTTTTAACATAAGAGGAAACTTTGAGTATTTACTTCCTGAAGATCCTGGAGAAGGCAAAAAGCCTCCAAGGTTTTAGAAGTCTTGTGTTTTGTCTTAAAAGTTCATGTATGTTTGGCATTCTAATCTATAGTGTGACTTTTTATTTTACTATAACCTGATTATGTTTTAAGTTACTCTCCAATTTAATTAACATATTCCTCAAATATTTTTTGCAAAATCAGCATTGCAGAAGACATGCTACATTTATCCTGTGGTCTTTTCTAGCTGCCAAGTACATATATAATAAAAAGAACATAGGCTTTGGATTAAATCCTAAACTGCCAACTACCTGTCCTATCAACCTGGGCAGGTTACTTGACCTAATTAAAATTTCATTTACTCTTCTGTATAACAGAACTAACAATGTCTAGGTGTGGAGTCTTCATGTAAGTGAATAGAGCAACACTCAGCACAGTATATTCATTTGCTGAATAAATATGCTTTACAATATAATGAAGATTTATATTTCATCTTGTTTTCAGTTATGACTTGATAATGCATTTTAACTGTCAATTACTATTCTACCAGCTTCTGCTCTATTTAACAATTTAATTAATACCTGTAATTGTGCTTTTCTTAGCTGTTGGCTGGTGATTTGAGCTTTTTGTTGCATCATATTTTCAATTCGTTGGTTGACTTGCTTTTCTTTCTTGAGCTCATTTCCATAAAATTTGGACCCCTACGGAGGAAAATGAAACAAAGCATATGAAAAATGTCTGAAGGAAAGCATCACTGTAGTATAACCTGGTGGCTAAGAGCACAAACTTGGGAACCAGAAGATTAAATGTAAAACTTAGCTCTACTACTTACGAGCTAGGTGACCCTAAAATTATTTAATCTTTCTACATCTCTTTCTTTATTCATAAGATGAATTCATTAGTAATTAACTAAATCATAGGATTATTGTGAGGCAGTACTTAGCACAGTACAAGCTCTCTGAGATGAACACGCATTTGCATTCAGAAAAGAACAGTATATCCTAGTTAGGATCCACAGGGCATAACAAAGGCCTTAGTGGGTTGGATCATCAGTTACCTGCTGCATTAAAAATTACTCCTTAGAGGCTGGGCACAGTGGCTCACACCTGTAATACCAGCTCTTTGGGAGGCCAAGGCGGGTGGATCACAACATCAAGAGATCAAGATCATCCTGGGTAACACTGTAAAACCCCGTCTCTACTAAAAATACAAAAAATTAGCTAGTATGGTGGCATGCACCTGTAGTCCTAGCTACTTGGGAGGCTGAAGCAGGAGAATCACTTGAACCCAGGAGGCAGAAGTTGCAGTGAGCCGAGATCACACCACTGTACTTCAGCCTGGTGACAGAGCAAGACTTCATCTCAAAAAAAGAAAAAGAATTTACTCCTTAGAAAGTATTTTCAAATATTTAATGTTAAGTCATTAAAGAAAATGTAGAAAATAATTCAAAAAATTGCTCACTATTCCATCACTGAACATAGTGTCTATCCATATATCTGGCTGATAGACATTTAGCTTATTTTTACTTTTTGGCTACAGTGAAAAATGCTATCATAAACATTTGTACACAAGTTTTTGCATGGATATATGTTGTCATTTCTCTCAGGTATGTACCTAAGAGTGAGGTTTCTGTGTCATATGGTACCTCTATATGCAATCTTTTGAGGAAATGGCGGTCTATTTTCCAAAGTAGCTGAACCATTTTATAATCTCATCAGCAATGTAGGAGGGTTTCGATTTCTCCACATCCTTGCCAACATTTGTGACTATCTTATTTATTATAGCCATTCTAAGCAACAGTAGCACGAATGACATGTTTTTGTGGTTTTTAAATTTGTATTTCCCTCATGACTAATGATACTGACCATCTTTTTTCTTTTTCTTTTCTTTTACGGAGTCTCGCCTGTTGCCCAGGCTGGAGGGCAGTGTCACAATGTTGGCTCACTGCAACCTCTGCCTCCCTGGTTCAAGCGATTCTCCTGCTTCAGCCTCCCAAGTAGCTAGGACTACAGGTGCGTGCCACTATGCTGGCTAATTTTTTGTATTTTCAGTAGAGCCAGGATAGTCTCAATCTCCTGACCTTGTGATCCACCCACCTTGGCCTCCCAAAATGCTGGGATTACAGGCATGAGTCACCATGCCCAGCAGATACTGACCACCTTTTCATGTGCCTAGAGCCATTTGTATATCATCTTTACTGAAATGTCTATTCACATCTTTTGAACATTTTTTTGATTTGTTGCTTGCTTTACTGCGTTATAGACATTTTCTGTATATTCTGGATGTAAGTCTTTTATCAGATATGTTTTTTACAAATACTTTATCCAAGGTATGTTGCTCATCTTTTTCTTTTTCTTTTTCTTTCTTTCTTTTTTTTTTTTTTTTTAAAGAGATGGGGGTCTCGCTATCTTGCTCAGGCTGATCTCAAACTTCCAATCCACCCACCTCAGCTTTCCAAAGCCCTGTGATTATATGCGTGAGCCACCACACCTGACCTATCTTTTTATTTTTATTGCTGTCTTTTGAAGTATAAACATTTTAAATTCTAATGAGGACTAATTCAACTTTTTCTTTTATTGACTGTGTTTTTGGTATCGTATCTAAGAAATTTCTGCCTAACTGAAGTTCTCAGAGGCTTTCTCACATTTTCTTCTAAAAGTTGTATTGTTTGGGCTCTTTAAGTCTATTCTGAGTTAATTTTGTGTATGGTGTGAGGGTTTTGTTTTGTTTTGCTTTGTTTTTAAGAGATGGGATCTCACTATGTTGCCCAAGCTAGTCTCAACCTCCTGGGCTCAAGTGACCCTACTACCTTGGCCTACCAAAGTGCTGGGGGATTACAGGTATGAGTCACTGCACCTGGCCCTTTTATTTATTTGTATTGCCTGACTGCACTGGTTAGAAACGTTAGGACTATGTTGAATAGAACAGATGAGAGTAGACATTCTTGCTTTGTTCCTAATTTTAGGGAGAAAGTGTTCAGCTTTCTACCATAAAGTATGATGTTCACTATAGGTTTTTTGATAGATGCCCTTTACTAGATTGAGGAAGTACCTTTCTACTTCAAGTCTGTTAAGAGTTTTTAGCATGAATGGTGGTGGGATTTTAATCAACTATGCTTGTTTTGAGTCTACTGAGATGATCGTGTAGGTTTTGCCCTTTATTTTAATATGGTGTATTATATTAATCGATTTTTAGATTGTGTGTTTTTTTTTTTTTTTTTTTTGAGACAGAGTCTTGCTTTGTCATCCAGGCTGGAGTGCAGTGGCATGATTTCGGCTCACTGCAACCTCCGCCTCCTGGGTTCAAGCAATTCTCCTGTCTCAGCTTCACGAGTAGCTGGGAGTAGCTGGGACTACAGACGTACACCACCATGCCCTGCTAATTTTTGTATTTTTAGTAGAGATGGGGTTTCACATATTGGTCAGGATGGTCTTGAACTCCTGACCTCAGTTGATCCACCCGCCTCAGCCTCTCATAGTGCTGGGATTACAGGCATGAGCTTGGCCAATTTTTAGATCTTAAACCAATCTTGCTTTACTAAAATAAATCCCACTTGGTCATGGTACTTAATCTTCTTGATATATTATTGGAATCAGTCCTCTAATATTTTTTGAGGACTTTTGCATTCATAATGGCTTTGGTATCAGGGTTATACTGGCGTCACAGGAGTTGGAAAGTGTTCCATTCTTTTCTATTTTCTAGTAGAGCTTCTGGAATATTAGTATAATTTCTTCTTTAAATATTTGATAAAATTCACCATAGAAGCCAACATGACCTGGTCTTTTTTCTTTGATGGGAAGATTTTTAATTACTAATTTATTTCCTTACTGTAGGTCTATTTAGATTCTCTGTATCTTCTTGAGTCCATTTTGAAAAATTGTAAAGTTCTAGAAACATGTCCAATTTATTAGGATTTATTTTAAAATACTCTACTGCCCGCTCCAATAGTCAGTAGGGGAAGGGTAAGACAGATAAAACTATATATGCAAAAATGTTGGTAATTGTTGATGGTAGGTGATGATTATATAGGGATTTACTTTACTATTCTCTACAGTTTTTTGTATATTTTAAATTTTCTGGTAAGAGCTTTAAAAAAGTAAATTGCATTGCCATGGAATAGTAACACTTAGAAAATTGCAATTTAAACAAGATACCATTTATGATAAGCTCACTATACACTAGAGGAATATGTATTATTCTATATATGCTTATATACCAGTCATGTAATCTATATCGATCATATATGTGCCTATATATTTTTAACACATATCACATAAAATTTATGTGAAAGCAAAGCTTTAAGAATACTCAAGATATTCTTTAAAAAAGAACAAAGTGTAAAAAAAAGAAATTGTATTAGCAGATATCAAGACTTATTATAAAGTAAGACAATAAAGAACATGTATACATACAAAGATAGGCAAATGATTCAGTGGAACAGAAGAGAAAGCACAGCAGATCAGTAGGAAAATAATGGACTGTTCAATAAACTGTACTGGACAGAGTATAGAAAGGGAGGATCAGATAGGGACATCTAGGATAACCTACATAATATATTTCTTGACCTAAAAACTAGATCCATAGGTTTATTCTTTTTCTTTTTTTGAACATTTTTATGATGAGAATATCAAAAAACTCTCAAACACAGAAAAAACGTGAATAAACACAAATAAAACTATTACTTAAATTTAACAACTATTAACATTGTAGTGTATATGCTTCATTACAAGTGAAATATTTTAGATATCAAGATATTTAGCTGCTCCACAGAGATAAGAAATTATAGATATCAAGATATTTAGCTGTTCCACAGAGGATTTCAGTATGCATTTTTAAAAATAAGGCAATTTTCCCATTTCATCATAGAAACATTTTCATAGCAAACAAAATTAACGATAATTCCTTAACTTTTTATCTTGGAATTTTCAAATCTGCAAAAGTTGAAAAAATTGTACAATGAACATCTATATATCCTTACCTAGATTCATCAATTAATATCCTTCTACATTTGATTTCTTCCCCAACTTCTGTGTATGTATGTGTGCAAGAGTGTACACGTACACACATACACACACACACACACACACACACACACACACACACACTTTGCCCTCCTTTTGGCTAAACCATTTGAAAGTAAGATGATGTGGACATCAGCATGCATTTCCTAAGAATCTTACAGTTTGCATCTTTCTACATGCATATTAATACATGTATTATGTTTACTGATACACATAACATATATAACATGCCAATATACATTATATATTATTTATATATTAATGTATATTAATATTGATATACATTGATAATACATTAATACATATATATTCTATAATATATAAATAAAACAAAAAAGTGGTAAAAAAAATTAAAGAATTTAAAGAATTCGTTTATGCCCTTGAAGAAAGCCGTATGTAGTTGACATTCAACTACATAAAATGAAGCAAACAAAAAATTTCTGCAAAGGAGACACTACCATAAGCAAAGTCAAAAGATAACTAATTATTGAATATGCAAATGTGTACAGAACATATAATCAGAGTTCGTAAAAAAGGAAATACAAATAATTTTCAGGATATCAAAAGAGCAGCCAGGCACAGTGGTTCATGTCTATAATCCCAGCACTTTGGGAGGCTAAGGTAGAAGGACTGCTTGAGGCCAGGAGTTCAAGACTAGCCTAGGCAACACAGTGAGACCTCATCTCTACTAAATAATAAACAGCCAGGCTTGGTGGCATGTGCCTATTGTCTTAACTCTTCAGAGGCTGAGGTGGGAGGATCACTTGAGCCGGAGAGGGTGAGGCTGTAATGAGCTATTATTGTGCTACTACACTCCAGCCTGGGTGGAAGAGTGAGATCCAGTCTCAAAAAAAAAAAAAAAAAAAGAAAAGAAAAGATATGCAATATCATTTTTCATAAGAGGAGTGCAAAATAATGCCATACTATATTACCTCAGATTGACGAATACAAATGTTTAGTAATACACAGTGTTGGCACAGTTTCAGTATGGTAATACATACTCTCACAGATTTGTCGTGGAAGTGTGAATTGACAGAAACACCACGGAGGGTAATTTGGCAATTCATAAAAATCACACATGCATATATTCTTTTGTGCTATGTGTAGTTGTTGGAACAAATCCACTTTTGGAATCTCTTCTACAGTTACACTTGCACATATAGAAAGTTATAAAGTACAAGGTTATTCACTACTTCACTAGTAAAAATAAAAGACTACAAATGACATGTTTATTAACTTTTGGACTGGTTCAATAAATTACATTATATCCACACACTCTGGCATAAAAAGAATGAAGATCTTTAATTACTTGTAGAGAAAGACCTGTGAGTTATATTAACTGAAAAAAAATCCAAACACCAAAACAATTTCTCTCATTGGGGTTAAAAGAAAAAAAAGAAAAGTGAAGAGGAACATGTACTTTTTTTGCTTTTATATGCGCGTTATATGCAGGTAAAATAGAAAGCTGGATGGCAAGAGCAACAGAATAGAAGGGAGATTATTTCATAACCTTTTGTAGTTTAAAAATAATAAATATTAAAATTTTAAATAAAAATGATATTCAAATGATTTTCTTTGAAACAGAAAGTTAAAAGGTCATTAAATTACACATATCAAAAGAAAAAAGAAACATACCTTTGTGGCTTCCATTATAATTTTGTTAATTTTCTCTTTATCTAATCCTTCCATTCCTGCTTTATTATCATTAAGTCCCATCCTAAGCAGAAGATCATCTTTGTAACCATCATTCTTCTCCTTTGTGCCATCCATGGTATAAACTTATCTGAAAAAACATAAAGATAAACACTGCTTTTAAAACCATCTGTGGCTGGATGCAGTGGCTCACGCCTGTAATCCTAGCACTTTCAGAAGCCAAGGCAGGTGGAATGCCTGAGCTCAGGAGATGGAGACCAGCCTAGGCAACATGGTGAAACTCCGTCTCCACTAATATAAAAAATTAGCTGGGCATGGTGGCGTGTGCCTGTAGTCCCAGCTATTCAGGAGGCTGAGGCAGGAGAGTTACTTGAACCTGGGAAGTGGAGGTTGCAGTGAGCCAAGATGGTACCACTGCCCTCCAGCCTGGGCAACAGAGCGAGAATCGTCTCCAAAAAAAAAAAAAAAAAAAACATCTGTTGGAGGGAGGGGCGGGGGACACCATGTACATCCATTATGCGTCAACAAAAAATGTTTTTAAAACATCAAATGATATAGAAATCAGCAAAACAAAAATTTAAATGACCGTTAAGAATTTTTAGCTACTAAAAATTATTACTCGGATTTTAAAAATTACAGTTGACTCTTAGGCAACACAGGCTTGAACAGAGAGGATCCACTTATATTTGAATTTCTTCTGCCTCTGTCACCCTTGACAGCAAGATCAATCCCAGTGCTTTCTTCTCCTTAGTTTATTCAGTGTGAAGACAATGAAGATGAAGATCTTTACGATCCACTTCCACTTAGTGAATAGTAAATATATTGTCTCCTTTATGATTTTCTTAATAACATTTTCCTTTCTCTGGCTTTCTGGTAAAAATAGAGTACAGAATACACATAACATACAAAATATGTATTAATCAACTGTATATCTTATTAGTAAGGCTTCCGGTTAACAATAGGCTATAAGTAGTTATGTTCTTGAGTCAAAACTTGTATGTGAATTTTTGATTGTGCATGGGCAGGGTCCCTAGCACCTGTGGTGTTCAAGGGTCATCTGTACTATCAAAAGATTATGATATTCTTGGAAGGAAGAAAGGAATTAGCATTTTCTGTATGGTCTGTTCTAGCTACTATGCTTAGGGGCACTACATGTGAGGGCCATAATAGCCTTGAAAGATAGATATTATTCTCCATACAAAAAGATAACAAACTGAGACTTAGAACATGTCTGTTGGCACAAATTTGCTCATAAGTGGCCACACACGTGTTGGAACCCAAGTATCAGTCAAAAACTTAAGTTTCCCCCCAGATTAAAACATGGTTTAGAAATACAGAATAATACTTCCTCTACTACACATGTTAAGCTCAAGTGTATTTATTATCTACTGTATGCAGATCTCCATTTTTAGGCAATGAAAAAATATAGAAAAATATTACCTAGAAAATAAGTCACCTCTAAGGTTTAAAAAATCCTTTCAAATAATAATTCTTGAATATCTTTATATACTTCTTTATAGTTTACCTTCACATACATTAGCTTTTAAAGATATTTTATAACCATGCAAAACAAATCTGGTTATTCTCATATGAGGGAGAAAAAAATGAGAACTTAAGCAAGATTAAATGGATTGCCCATCATAACTGTTAGTAAGTAGAAGAATTGGGATTTGAATGCAAGCCTTCTTATTTCAACTCTGATGCAGACTCCATGACATCATAGTTGCCTCCTATTTGGGGTTCCTGTATGCTACAAATAAGTGGTCAGGTGAACAGTAGTCATGAATCTAAAACAAATTATGATTGTGACTTATTTGTATGATTTAGAGAGGGCTCATTTGCTCCACTTTGCCTTGAGGATCTTCCCTTAACAATGCTTCTTCTGTTTTTGGCATCAGCAAATAATAAAAAGAATTTTGGGACTGTGAATACTGTGGCTATTACTGGTAGTTCCACTAGGAAAAAAAGTGTACATCTTGGTAGTTCTCAAACTTTGCTGCACATTAGGTCCACCTGGAGAGCTGTGATGCCAAAGCTCATCTGATACCAAATAAATCAAAATGTATGGCAGTAGGAGCCACACAAGAGTATTTTAAAGAGATGTCCAGGTAATTCCAACGTGTCCCAAAGTACAGGAACCACTGGTATAGATGTTGTTTCGCAGTGCCCAGGGGAATATAAGCTAGTTTTTTGTTTTCATCATTTGATTTTTGTTTGTCTTCAACTATCATATTGAGTCCAGCCTCCCAAGTAGCTGGGACTACAGGCGCACACCACCATGCCTGGCTAATTTTTGTATTTTTAGTAGAGACGGGGTTTCATCATGTTAGCCAGATTGGTCTCAAACTCCTCAAGTGATCCATCTGCCTCAGCCTCCCAAAGAGCTGGGATTACAGGTGTGAGCCACTGCACCTGGCTGTTGATGACTTTTAGAGACAGAAGTGGGATGCCAAGGCTGGACTCGAATTTCTGGGCTCATGTGATCCTCCCACCTCAGCCTCCGAAATAGCTGGGAGGCTGCACCTGGCTGTTGATGTTTGTTAGAGACAGGAGTGGGATGCCCAGGCTGGACTTGAATTCCTGGGCTCAAGTGATCCTCCCACCTTAGCCTACAAAATAGCTGGGATTGAAGGCACATGCCACAAATCCTGGCTGTCTTGCCCTTTAAATAATGAAATGTATAAAAGGTAAAGAAATATTATTAATGCCTTTTCCTTATATATGATACATTAATGCCTTAGCCAAAAAACTGAGAAGAGGCTAGGTGCCTCATGTCATGGCTGTAATCCTAGTACTTTGTGAGGCCAAGGCAGGAGGATTGGTTAAGCCTAGGAGTTGAACACCAGCCCCGGTAACACAGTGAGATTCTGTCTATACAAAAATAAAAATCGAAGTAAAAAATGAGCCAGGTGTGGTGATGAGCACCTGTAGTTCAAGATACTTTGGAGACTGAGTTGGGAGTTTCACTTGAGCTTGGGAGGTCAAGGCCATCATGCCACTGCACTCCAGCCTGGGCAACAGAGCAAGAACCTGTCTCAGTGAAACTAAACCTAACCAAAAAAACTCTTAAGAGTTGGTTTTGGTGCTTGAGTCAGAAGAACTAGGCTACTGGCAATCCTGGGACAAGGCAAAATTGTGATAGGTAGTTTTTGACTACCTTCCTGCTTACTGATACCTAATTACCATGAAATTTTTGTCCAGTTTCATAGGCATATGTTTAATATCATCTACATGCCAGTGACTTACAGGTTTACAGCACCAATCCAAATACCTGTCTGACATTTCAAATTTAACATGTTTAAAACTAATCTTTTAATCTGCCCCCAACCCCTCCAACCAGCTCCATCCACTTCTGGCCTTCCTGGTCTCCACTGAGGGCAACTCCAATCCATTCCAGTTGCTCATGCAAATAACCCAGTAGTCATTTTTGACCCCTCTCTTTCTCATATACCCACATCCAAACTATCAGGAAATCCTTTGGACTCTGCTTTCAAAATCACCCTGAATTTAACCACTTCTCATTCTCTTCACTGCATTCACTCTCATCTGAACCACCATTATCTTTTGCTGGATTATTGCAGTAGTCTCTTAAATAAGTCTCTCTGCTTCTGCCCTTTTTATCCTATAGCCAATTATCAACACAATAACACAATGAATTGTTTCAAATCACAAGTAAGATCATGTCATTTTTCTGCTGAAAACTGTACAGTGCCATTCATCTCACTTGAGAATAAAACCCCAAGTCCTTAAAGTGACCTTCAAGGCCCTGTGGAATCTGGATCCCTGCTACCTGTCTACTCTCCTGTCTGTCTAATATTCTGCCTTGCACCCTACTCTACAGCCACACTGGTCTCTGTGCTGTTTCTCAACTCTCTGAGGTACACTGTAATCTTGAGGTCTTTTTGCACTGACTGTTCTTCTCCTGGAGGGTTCTTATGCCAGATGTCCTCTTGACTAAACTCCCTCATCTCCAAGCCTTTGCTTAAATGTCAATGAGGGCATACCCTGACCTCCCTCTTTAAAATTATAGCCTAATTGCCCCTCTCACCTGCTCTTCCCAATGCCCTGTTTTTTTCACAGCTCTTACTTTCTAAGATATGTTATGTTTACTGTCTATCTCCCCTGTGAAAATGTAAGCTCCATGAAGACAGGGAACTCATTTTCTTTTCAATGATATATCCAAAATACTTCAAATAATGCTTGGCATAGGCATAGGGTAGGTGCTTAACAGGTACTTGTTGAATGACTGAACAATCTCAGTTTATGTCATTTTTCTCATTCTCTAATTCACAAAGCAAGATCACATAATCACAATAAAAATCAGGAGAAAAACTGGTTTTTTGAAGCTAATAATTTAAAAATACTTCTAGTGTTTCCTTGTTTCAACATTAAACATGCAGTAAGTATATGTGCTAAATAACCTCACAGTTTATAAATATTACTTTCCTCAGATATTTGATGTGCACATTGATTTATCAAAGCCTTTAGGGACTTACATTAGAATATTTAAGAGTCTACTTTACATTTATTCTTATGGAGATTATGTTGTATAATTTACTTGATTAAATCCTTTTCTTTGTTTCTTTTTTTTTTTTTTTTTTTTTTTTGTGAGACGGAGTTTCGCTCTTGTTACCCAGGCTGGAGTGCAATGGTGCGATCTCGGCTCACCGCAACCTCCGCCCCCTGGGTTCAGGCAATTCTCCTGCCTCAGCCTCCTGAGTAGCTGGGATTACAGGCACGGGCCACCATGCCCAGCTAATTTTTTGTATTTTTAGTAGAGACGGGGTTTCACCATGTTGACCAGGATGGTCTCGATCTCTTGACCTTGTGATCCGCCCGCCTCGGCCTCCCAAAGTGCTGGGATTACAGGCTTGAGCCACTGCGCCCGGCTTTCTTTTTTTTGAGACAGAGTCTTGCTCTCTCGCCAGGCTGGAGTGCAGTGGCACAATACTGGCTTACTACAACTTCTGTTTTCCGGTTTCAAGCAATTCTCCTGCCTCAGCCTTCCAAGTAGATGGGACCACAGGCACGCACCACCACGCCCAGCTAATTTTTTGTACTTTTAGTACAGACGGGGTTTCATCATGTTGGCCAGGATGGTCTCGATCTCTTGACCTCTTGATCTGCCCG